GAGCGCCGTTTCAGGGTCTGAATGCCTTACCCGGTCGATACGAACGAAGGAGGACGCGCTCGTGGCACGTATCATGGTACGCTATTGATAGATAGTGACTCATTAATGCAAGCGTCAATGACAGCGTGTGAGGCGAGAGCAAAATATGAAAATTTGCTGAGATTCAGCCTGAAACCGATTAAGCCTTCAATGAGGATGGAAACAAATACCCATTCTGTTAGGGCCGGAAGGAATCTTGAAATTCGCACCATAACTTCCCTTAGTGTTTGTTGAATACTATAAGTGCTCGTCAAAAACTATAAAAAGGTTAAGTTCTTCGTGAAAACATTTGATGGAAGTATCTGTCCCTGCAATGATCATTCCAGCTCTCTAAGACTCTTTTTAACAATGTTTTTTGCAATTAAGATCCTGCACATTACTTTTCATCACCATGGAGGTTAAACAATCGAGTTTTGATAGTCTCAGGCTACAGCGATTATTCATCGACAATTCTTGAACGGCAAACGAATGTTGTTTAAGTACATGCTATCTACAGATGGAAGGCCAACTGCGAGCCCGTCAGATCGCACGCTATCATTGCCATGCCAATGCGTGTTCACGCCGTGGGCTGCTTTTGCCAGACGCTTCTCCAGTCCGAAGGCCAACAGCGATAAGTGGCCCGCTGACCGACGCCAGCAAATCGTTTCAATTTGCGGTTGTCTGAACGCTTTTCCCGCCACCGAAATACCAAGGGTTTGAGGTGCATTGTGGGCAAAATTCGTTTTCCCGGCTATGTACAATTGGCGCGCGAAACGGCAGTGCTGATAGCATGCTGTTACGCGGGTTGCAACGGTACGTAGGTTCTGGATATGACAGAAAACGTATCGCGAAGATCCGCAGATTTCAGGCCAGAGACAGGGTGCCTGCTCTAACCCCCCCCCCCCTCCCTATCCCTCTCACTTCATTTTTCCCCCCCCTCTCTCTCTCTCTCTCTCTCTCTCTCTCTCTCTCTCTCCTCTCTTTCCCTCACCTTCTTCTCCCTCTCCCTCCACCTCTCTCTCCTTCTCCCTCTCCCTCTTTCCCCCCTCTCGTCATTCTCTCTCTCTCTCCTCTCCATTCTAGTCCTCTCTCTCTCGCTCTCCTTCTCTTCTCTCTTCTCTCTCTCTCTATTCTCTTCTCTTCTCTCCCTCTCTCTCTCTCTCTCTCTCTCTATCCTCTCTCTCTCTCTCTCTCTCTCTACTCTCTCTCTCTCTCTCTCTCTCTCTCTCTCTCTCTCTCTCTCTCTCTCTCTCTCCCTGGCACGCTGCCGCCGTTCTTTCCGGGGCCGCTCGGTTACGGCGGCGGCCAGCTATCAAAGCCGACACCCTGACACTGGTTGTTATCTCTACGGCGCTGTAACGGACAGCCAACAGCCAGATGAGTCTTTAACCGGATGCAAACGGCGGGACGGACCCGGAGCCCGTCCCAGGTGCAGGGCAGTGGGGACGGGGAACGGGTGGCACGTGCAGTCGGTGATGTACGGTCCGAGAGAGCGGCGGAGGATGGAGGACAGGAGGACGGGCATCCACTGTCTCGGCGGGCAGCCCGGCTGCAGTGGTCTGCAGTACGCTGCGGTGGTGTACAGTACGCTGCAGTGGTGTTGTCTGACGTCATCATGGCTGGCGTTGTTGCAGCCAATACGAATACGTTGAAGCATGGCATGCCGAAGCCACGCTCTTTGTTTTTGTCTCACTGCGCCATGTTTGCATCACACATAATCGGTTCGGAATGCCTCACCCGGTCGATACATACGAGAAAGAACGTGTTTATGATACGTCTAATGACTTTTCGTTTACAAGTTTTTTTGTTTGTTTTTTCAAACATCCGTTATATTGCCAACAAATTAAAAAGAAGCAGTGAAAAAGGACGCTATGATACGTTGTTAATCACCGAGCTCGCACATTCATAACCATTTTGAAAATAGACTCGTTTCCAGGTCCATCTTCAGTTCGTTTGAAGGTACGGTGAGTGAAGGGGCAAGCACGTATTTTAGGCCACAATTGCACTATTGCGCCATAATCCGGTTGGCCGCAAAGATGAGATAGCGGTAATAAACTGATCGTTGTCGGTAACATCTGAATGGAGTACAATGATTATTTATATAAAACGCGTATTCTTCCGGTGCCACATATGTAAAACAGATCAGTAAAAATATCAGGAACTATCTTAAAAAACTATTGCAACATCTCGAGTGAGAACACGACTCTTCATAATTCTCTGAGTAGCCGCCAGACGAGCGGCACGCAAGCTCCACAGTATTTCCGCGGCTTTGGATTAGCAGCTGTGGGAACGTGTTTATCAGGTAGTAGACTACTTGTTGAAATATCTGATATCAGTCAACGAAATGTGCTTGAAGTATTATTTCGTTTCTCAACAGTGAGGTTTCAGACGGCTTCAATTGACAGCGAATAGCTATCTCCTGATGGTTATCTGCCCCTTTCGTGTTTTCAAAAGATGCGTACTGGATATGCTCGTATTCTGAGCAGATATAAGCTTCTGAAATATTATGAAATGTTCGCTCGGGGTGGTATGTCATGTACCAAGTGTAGCACGTTTCGATTATCGTGTCCTTTTATGGCACACGTTCAAAAATTGCAGGATAGAAAATATAATTGGATGCCGAAGAAGTGTTCAAAGAGTGCTCAGGAAGCCCACTTTGTTGGCCAGGCTGTCTACACTCAGTTAAGAGCCCAATCGGTTTATATCAGCTCTCGATCATCGGCCATATCTTTGGACTACGGTTGACATCCTAGCTGTGTGGTAAGTAGGCAGGTTTCCATGCGAACAACCACAGCACGAGGAAGTGCCGCAGGAAGGAATTCCTGACCCTGCACGCGGACATTCATAAGAATTGTCGTTGGTAACGTCTTGCGATAGCGTCGACACGAAAGCATGGCTTACCTCAGGCCGTCACCCGGATCGACATCAGGGGCGCGCCCAAGCCACATCGGTGGGGGGGGGGGGGGGGTGGGGAGACTGCAGGTGATGCTGAGCGTCACATGTACTGCTCAAGCCGAACATATACACTCAAGTACATTAAAAACACATGTGACGTTTGTCTGTGACATGGCTCGTGTCACCATCCAGAAAAAGACTCATATTATCCTGCGCACGCCTCTGGCGATCGACCGGGCCGTCTAACGCCCCGTCAGTTTGGCCGGGCGTTTGTGACCGGTGCGCAATGAGCAGCGGGGCGGCGGCCGCTACCGTGTCGCGTTCACGGGCGGCGTGCACTGCTTGCACCGCCGCCGCCGCCCACTGTCGAGCCACGCTGCAACGTCGCGGGCGGCGAAAGGGCACCGACAATGGGGAGCAGCGCGACGGCTGGGTGCCGGGGTCACACGCTGAAGTGTGGACCGATGCCCCGGGGTCACACGTCCCGCCACGCTGGGCTGTCGGCCGGCGCCCAGCCCCTACCCGCTCGCCAGGGTCACACGGGGTGCGGGTCTCGGCGCTGCGGGGCGCCCGGGTGCGGTGCGTCGGGTCGCCAGGCTTGGGCAGGCGGCATGATGGATGACGTCCGCTGCCACCCGTGTGGACGCGGTATTGCAGGTACCTGATAATAGGCTGCTAGCGCATGAAGGGAGCGTAATGATCCAGAATGGTGTGTTTCGGTGGTTGGATATGAGATGCGGTGTGGCACATGGGCGCGTCGCACGTTTTCGGCACCACGAGTGTGCTATCGCACTGAGGAGTGGTGGGGGATTTCTACCATTCGCCCTATAATAGCCCGATGACGTAATTGATCACATTTTGTCTCTTCCGACCAGCACGCCTGAAGTGCAGCAAAGCTTGTGCAAAACTTTCACCTTGTGAGGAACGCACACTGTGCATAATGCTTCTGGTGTTGCCATGCACATGTACGCACAGGCACCGTGTCTGGTGTGTCTCCCACGTCCCGAGCAACCCATCCCAGCCGCGGCGGTATCTTCTCTCGCGCCGTCCGCAATGGCGGAGAATCAGGACGCCGTCTAATATCAGGGTGCCATCAATCATGCTGCACCGTATGCATTTGCGAGAACACCTGCAAGCCCAAGATATCTCAGGGAAGGCCTTTTGAGTGTCGTCAGTTGTTAAATTAAAAACGCCATCGGAGTTGATGCTCCATCCATTCTGACGCAGCATCGATTCAGTGGCCTGCGCTCCTTATATCGTGTTTAAAGCCACTTATTTGGAGGAGCAGGTGCTCTATAATTATGCGCATATTCGGATCTCCCATTGTCTGGGCTCTCAAGCTGCTAGCTCGCTCCTCCACTGAACATTTGGTTTATTTTCGGAATGTAACGGGATTGATGAATCCCCTGAGCTATGGGCCTATCCTGTTCAGCATGCTCTCAACAGCTTGCAGGGGATTTCCAAGTTAGGTCGATGCATTTAGGAAACTCTTGAATTATTATATGCGTAACTCCATAGCCAAGTTTTGTTGCCTTTGAAGTCGCTTCACGGAAAAGCCGAGGCGAGCTCGCACGCGGAAAGATAAAGCCGAGGCGAGCTCGTACGCGGAAAGATAAAGATAGCGGAAAGAAGCACCTGACGGTCGTGTCACGCCGTGGCTAACATGCCTCCATTCTCATGCTAGGAACGCCGTAACTTCATGCACCTTTTAGGTCACAGCTGGCGTGGAATGCGGCCAATGTTATTGACACGAAAACACCATTCTCATGGTCTAAACGGTCCCGTTTATGAACTATGCTGTTGCATTCCTATGTTAGCTCTGAGTAGCTCCGGGATTTTTCGCCCTGTGAATGTGATACTTCTGACAGCACTCTACCTTTTTCTCACAATTCTACGATTCCGCGCCATTCCGTGGTGTAAAATATTAGATCTTCGAGGCGTCGTCGACTCATTTGGAAACAGTAGCATTTTCTGGACGAGCATCCGAAATGAAAGCACCCAGCTCGCCAGACAGCCCGCTTGCTCACCAGAGACTACACAGACCGCATGGGCGTGACCCGCGCTGACACCGCGGCCGTGTTTTGCAGCCGGGTGTCGGCTCTCAGCGGAGCCTCGGACGGCGGCGCACCGCGTGCTGCTGCCGCCGTTCCATGACGACCAGCCGCCGCGGCCCGAGTTCGACCCGTCCATCCCGCTGAACGTGACGACGCTGGTCGGCAGGGACGCCGAGCTCAACTGTATCGTCAGGAACGTCGGCAACCACACGGTACGTCCTCGGACGGAAGCGGCACCACATGGCGCGTCCGCATGGGCGGCGGTGGCCACGCGGCGCTTCCGAGCAGGCAACGGTGGTCGTGCGGTGCGGCGGTGGCCGGGGTCATCCGAAGTTTAGTGAACTAGGGCGTCCCCCCACGAATAAATGGCTTTCCTCTAGGTCTAGTTTTTGTACGAATAAGGTGGTATTTCGAATTGCAAGGCTCCTTCAAAACGGAATGCTGGATCCGCCACTGTCCATGCCAGCCTCAGCTTATGGGAAGTTCTTAGCGACATTCACATTTGCGTTCGTTTCCGACTCCGATAAGTGTACGATACAAACAGCTGTAGAATGGTTCGGTGAACGTCAAAGCCGGCTGTGCGGGTCCAGCGATGAGATCGATCTCCATCAATCGCCAGGCATGCATTGAGAACAGCGTATCACGCGTAAAGTACCAACGGCGACATGCTTGCTGTATTCCATAGTATCGGCAGTGACAGCGCTCAGCCACTGACAACCAGGTCTGCGGTGTAGGGTCTATTCAACCATTCTGCAGCACTGCGCGACACGGCGACATGATTTTTTTACACGTTTTCGATTGCCGGACGCGCTAGCGTCCCTGCTGAGGACCGGCTGTCCGCGCAAGTGCGGAAGTGGCCACGTGCTGTACATGTGGCCTTGTATGTGAGCCTGGCAGGCGTACCGCTGTGTTCGAGCAGCCGTTGATGGGCCTTTCAAGGAGTAGTGATCGACGAAACAGGCCTATATTGGTATCATAGCAGCTTGCTGGCTGCGAAGTACATGTGAAGCGTTGCCAGCAAGCCGTCTGAAGCCTGTGCATATTGGAAGACAAATGTGATATAGCGTTCAAACATCGCGCTCATACCGATGCATGTAGCTATTCTTAGACACAACGAGGTGGATTTCACTGTGAATGTGAATTTTATGTCTTTACGCATTGCACAAGGCACGTAGGCTTCCTGAAGCCCTCCCAAGGAGGTATAACTTTAATGTCGAATTCTAAATGTGCCGGTCATATCGAGGAATCGTCCCCAGAGGGTCAGTGTACGGCAACATAACGGTGCACGGTGCATTTCAATGCACCGTAACATTATGGATAACTCCGTTCATGACGTCTTAAGATGGTATCGCAGACTAGATAATGTTAAGCGGATGTTAAGCGGATGTATATTTAAGTGACACCGGGGACATCCTGAGGACGCTGTCAAAGAGTTTAATCAGGCATTTACAAGGAAGCCTTAGTTGTTTTCATTTGTTCCTTCCACGCTAGCACGACCTGAGGAAGATACAATTTAGCGCCAGATCTGAAGTGCACGAACAATGTGGTAAGCAGGAGCAAAACCTACATGTAGCTAGCACCACTAGATGGGAAACAACAGGCCCTGAATGTGGTCGGCAGGTGGAGCGCTGTGACACGCAAGTGAGCCAAACTTACATGATTATAAAAAGAAACACTCATCGCACGTCGGCTGGGATATATTAAAATTGACTAACACAGGACAAACGTGACTAACAAAGAATGTAACAAAACGATGGCTTTGAAAAGCGTACACCGAGAAGGCCGTAAAGGTGACACGTTTGCCCGTTATGGGCCAATTTTAGTGCTGCTGACTGCCAGAGTAGCGCCATGAGTGCTCCTGCAATGAACCCATTAAGCTCCGACTTCTTTTTGCGTCAAGCCTGTTCGTGTGCACTCCAGCTAGAGGCAGTCTCAGGCAAAGTTTAGGCATAGGTCATTGTCCTTAATTGAACATTGAGATGAAATTGATTATTTCCATGTCACAGGCTACCTGGTAAGTGCCACTGCACGAGTATTATAAAAACGTAGTGAGAAACAGCGTTGATTTCATCGCCCAGACAGCGCCCAAGCCAGCTCTACAATTGCTACGAAATGACGTCTGAGGTCATCAACCTGAAATACCCCAGCCTTAAGTTTGTTTTGGCAAATAAGAAGCACCGAAGAAATATTAGCCGTGCCAAATTTAACGGCTCTCATATTTCTATCCTTTTCTTCGCTCTTGAAACATTAGATGAGACTCCCTATCCCACGGGGCAACTCTTGCATGGTGACGCGGTAGCGGCACTGTTACATGTCGGATGGCGTTGTTTTTGAATGGACGCCTCAGCCAAACGCCGTCTGTGCTTTCATGCTTCGCGACTGTAAGCCACAAATCATGCATAGTTCATTACCAGTAAGGACGCATGGGTGCCATGTGTTGTCAGAGAGCCAACTGCCCCCATATTCTAAAACTCAAGGTGCATCGTCTCGTTGCAGTAGTCGGCATGTTGCAGCACGTGCGTGATTTCCCTGCGAAATTGCACGCACAAAATGGAGACCTTTGATTGTTTACCTTTGGATGTGTTGCGAGTGAGCCGCAAGCCTAGCCATGCCTTTACCTGGGGGTGTTTTCCCAACCGCAACCGCGTGTCGGTACTTGCAACCCCCTTGTCACGTCATTATCTAACCATGGGTCGGAAGCATTCGCACTGAAACCGATGACGCTGGTAATCAAAAAGCCTGACTCACGTCGAAGGCACTCTCGTCGTAGTACCTTCAGGACAGTGGGGAAACATACGACGCAAGGCACCGGTGGTATACTGCGTAGAGCACTTCGCCGATTGAATTTTGGGGATCCGATCCAGTCCAGTCCGGCTTGTCCAGACTCAATCCACCCGCCAATCCACCTCTCCCCAGATTCCTCAATCCAACTCAATCTTTATTGGTTCAAATATTCTTTTCTGAGCTGATGTCTCTATTTTACACTTGAGGAACAATCTAGTGATAAATCCGTTTGACTTATTTTTAATCCGCTCAATCTGTGCGAGCTGGCCAAGCTGAATATCGGTCCGGTCCTAACCGATGCTTTGGTGGCAATTCTTGATCCGGTCCTATCCGGCCTGTTGACTGATCCACAATCCCAAGGTCTACCCAAACCGTGAAGTGCTCTGGTACTGCGCACAGGGGAAGTACTGTGCGGCGGGTGACCGAAATTGACACGAGAACCTCCGCGAGGTCTTCAGTACCAGCAGAGTCGGCGAATCGATACAAAACAAAGAAAATCGATAAATCGAAATCAGTGTGATTTACCGGATGCGCAGGAGAGGTCTTGGCAGGAAGATGGTCACAGGGCATGACGAAGGCCCATTGGCAAAAGGCGTCCCCATAACAACACCACGGGATTTGATCCATTTGGATAAGTCCCATTCAAGCCGATGGACGCGTGTATTTGGGAGTGTCGTGGATTCGACACTTGTTCCTTGCCGTTTCCGGACAGGGAGCCCCGTGGGCTGAACACCAAAGGTGCATTTCCTATACCAGCAAGGGGCTGAAGGGTGTTTCCGCCCAACCCATGGCTCTAGTCCGCCACCATCCTGGCGACACGAGGCCCTGGCAACCTGGTCGATCCCCCCTGGTCGAGAGGCTGTCAGAGAGATGCGTCACACACCGGTCCGCGTCCTGACGCTGGAAGTCGTCTGACGGGAGCAGCTGGATCTGGATCGACGCAGAGGCCCCCACTGGCGCAAATACACGGCGGTGGAACCCTTACACGGCGGAAAGGACCCTACCACGGCATACAAAGTGGCCGTGTGGCTTCAGCCCATCAGCTCAGCCAGGATCAAAACTGCAGCTGGCCTCTCAGTTGAACGCTAGTCCCGACCATTGCTATTGTGCAGACCTGCACCTACAGAGGCCCCGAAGGGCCGTGGTCATAAAGGCTTTGTACCAACGATCTTGTGGTCGGTAGGAAGACGCTTAAACCATGTAGCCATTTACGCCCCCTTTTGATGATTGAATGGCTGGAGAGCACCACTCGCAGGATTGTGAGTTCAAAACCGAAAGCGGCTAGAACTATTCGAGGCTGAGTTAAGTACTTCTTTTGCGACCGAACACCATCAAGACTGCAAAGTCAGCTAACACCTGACGACGACCAGAGAAATTGCTGGCGGAAAATCGCGTTAAACAAAAATTAAGTGTATATTTTTGTCAATAAGTAGTCAAGCTCAAGTTGTCCATGATGTGGAATTTTGGTCCTGTGTTTTAAACATCGTGAGATCTGAAATAAAAGACGTTTTCTGGAGCTGGTGGATCGAAAAAGATATGAGTAGCTTGTATATTATTATCAACACGGGCTTGGGGATCGGCGTGGCCGAAGGCGTTAGACGCGGTGCAATTTACACGCGCGATTTCTGGCATATGGCGAAGGCTAGTAGGCTATTCGTTATCGGCATATGATAGCAGGAGGCCGTGGAGGAAAGTCAGCTGAACCACCGTTGACGAAGGGGCCTAATGATTGAATACAGTGTTTGATGCTCGCTCAGGGAGGTCACAATAAGACCACTGGGGTAAGTGGCATGCGCAACCATAAGGCTGACATCGCAATTTTTTCTGCACAACTGCATTGGTGTCGAGGGTGTGCACGCATCATTACATTTGCGATATGTAGGTGTGCATGCATCGACGCAGGCACATGACACATGGATGAAGACATGTACGTCATGACTGACACACGTCTCAATTGGGAAGAAACGGTCCAGCCTCGTACAGCCACGGAACGATCACGCCTTCCGGCCAGGGACGCAATTTTTAATTCAGTTGGGGGCTCCAGCCCTCCTTCTCCTTCGCCGACTTTGAAAAGAAAGTGGGCCAAATTCGTGGAGGTACCCGTTTATTAACGAGTTTTGGTGATATGTTTCGTCATGTTGGACTGTTCAGTGCCCCAGCTCATTTTGGGAAACTGAGCTCCCGTTCCCAGTCCCGACCCCGACCAGACGACTGTCTGGTCTGGCGGATTAGCTGGAGCGTCGCGGCTTCGATCTCAACAACAGCGTGAACTTGACTCCTCGTTTTTACGGCCTAGTTTGGTATCTCTGGATTTGGACCCACTTTCGCGATGTTCGGTTCGATCTCATCACGCGTGATGAGTTCGAACTCAGTGATGAGTTCCTTGTTGTGCCTGGTCTGTTACACGATTGACTGCTCAAAGCTGACG